TCTTTTTCCAAAAAAGATAAGAAATTTTCATTCTAGAGGGGCCCTCAGTTGTGGTTTTTGGAGACAGAGAGAACACTCAGAAAGCCAGAATTTATTGTGGATGATTTCTTAATGTCTTAGATTAGCAGCTCTGAGTACATGAGGACACAGCCCTGCTTGGCTCAGAAGACAGAGCCCAGTTAGGCAAGGGCAGGCAGCGAGGGCCAGGGATTAGTGGCTGGGCTGCTGAAGCAGACAGACCTTCCAGCAAAGCCTGCCCTAGATGGGGGTGGGGGACACACAATGAGACTACTGAAGCTACAGACCCTTGCAGGTAGACACCCACAAGGCCAGCAGGTGTTTCTGTGGCCCCTGGAAAATGTTGGGGAAGGAAGGGGTAGGAGATGATGGGATGAAGGGTGGAGGAGACAGCTGACTTTCCTTCAAGCAGGAAAAGGAGTGTGCTCAATATATCAGTAATTTTTTAAAAATATCAATTATTGGCTCTTGGTAGTGTAAAACAAAATTTTCACCAGGACCCCAGGAGCCAGTAGATTCTCATTTAGCTGGTGGAGAAGTCCAGTCCAAGGGTCTCACCATTGGTGCTTCAAGCTAATCTCACACTATGAAAAAGGAGAAGACATGGTTACAGCAGTGTGTGGGTCCAAAGACCTGACAGGGCAGTTTGGGACATCCAGGATCAGACACCCATTCCCTAACTTGGTTAGTCAGGGGCCTTATCACACTCGGCCCTCTCCATAGTACCTCACCAGGAGCACTGGGACTCCAGTATTTTGCTCCAAGTTCAGCAGCCCTGAGTTCCAAGGCCATTCCTGCCTACCTAGGTACACTTTAAAAGAGACACAAGGCCACTTTCTTTCTTTCTTTCTTTCTTTCTTTCTTTCTTTCTTTCTTTCTTCCTTTCTTTCTCTCTTTCTTTCTTTCTTTCTTTCTTTCTTTCTTTCTTTCTTTCTTTCTTTCTTTCTTTCGCTCTCTCTTTCTTGGTGCTGAGAATGAACTTACGACCTGGAGCTTGCCAGACAAGTACTTAGCCTGGTGAGTAAATCCCTAGCCCCAAAGTCACTTTAATAGGAGAAAGAATGAAAGATTGGTAAGGGATAAAGTAAGGAAGGAGAAAGGAGAGAAAAGAGGCAGAGAGAAAACTGTGTGACAGAAGTCAACTCCCCAGGAAAAACCTTGGGAGGAAATTGCCTGTCAAATAATTTCAAGAAAATGGCATTTAAACAACCAGAAAATGAAGTTTTCCTCCCACTTCCTGCCATCCATCTCCATTTCTCTTCAATTTCTCCTCCTTCCCTTGGTTCATTTCCCTGGCATGCAAAGTCTCTTCCATACTCTCTCTGCTCTCCGCCAGGGTCGGCTGAGAGCTGCTTCCTTGATGATACTGCATCAGGAAATTACAGAAACTCCAAATCTCAGATGATTCCAAATTCTTCTATGGCTCCCGCGGGACCTGGCCCCAGACATGACTCTACCAATAGTCAGCACCAATAGTCAGCAGGAAGAACAACGGCTGATCTGACCAGGGTAAGATGCAGATGGAGCCCAAGTGCTCTTATTCCAGTCTCACTACTCATGTCCCTACTCCAGACTCTGCCAATTCTTGTGTGACTCTGGCGGCTTACCCTTTTTGAGTCTCTATTTCCTCATCTGAGGCAACATGGGGTGAAAATGTTTTAATGCTGTGTTTCTGTCACCCCCTGCCCTTGGATGCACTCAAATGGGCTTGCATGAAGCCACATACAGATGGATACCATCCTACGGGCATGGCTCTGGGGTCCACCCAAGACGTGTGCAGAACAAGGGGTGGGTTCCGGGAAGGTGACAAGGGAGTCAACCCCAGCACAGGAGTGAGCAGAGGGATGATGCTGGGACAGCCACTTAGGGCATGTGATATTATTCCTCCAGCCTCAATTTCCCTGTGCTTAGAAGTAAAGCTTACCCAGGATCAAGCAGACTCATACTCTCTTCTTTTAAGGGAACAAAGATGGGACCGACTACTGACAGGCCCACTAGAGAAGCACTTGCTCCAAGGCCTTGCTTGTCTCCTGTAGTCCACACGGTCAGGGATTCCCTGAGTGCCCAGGCTTCCAAAGAATTTTTTCCTAATTAATCACCTAGTCTGTGTTGCTCATGGCGCCAGTCTCCCCTAGGTCATGTACTTGACCTCACAGCCCAGTCACTCCTGAGGAAAGATCTTATCATTGCCATTGGACAAATGAGGGAAAAAAAGCTCAAAAAGATTGAAGGATATGAATGGTCACACATCAAATGAGTTGCAGAGCTGGGAGTAAACTTTGGCACTGGAACTTCTAAGTTCACCACACTACTATGAAATCATAATAAGACCCATGTGAGTAAACAGATAATAGTAACACTGGTGCTCTGTTAAATACTTCACTAGAATTATCTCATTCAGGACTTGTAACACCTTAGTGAGAAAGAGAAATCAGTGTCTCCATTTTGTAGACACTAAAGCTGGGAGAGGTTTTCCAATGTTACACATAGCTTGTCAGTGATACAGTGAGGTTCAAACCCTTATATGTAAAAGATTTCAGTAGAGGGAAAAGGAGGGCTCCACAACTAGCACTGAAGTAGAAGCCAGCTACCCTCTTCCAAGGCAAAGTTAGGGTCTACCTCCAGCTCAGTGGGCCTGAGACAGGACTGGGCTGGTGATCTTGTAATCCACAAAGGAGCCCCCAAGCTCGAGGTTAAAAAATGAGGCAAAAACATATTTTAAAAAGCAGCGCTGATTTATTTTATCCTGGGCCCAGCAACACAGTGCAGTTGGAGATTGCAAAAGCTGTGTCTGTTGCTCCTCTGTACTTGCCACCTTTAAGTATATATCACAGTTTACAACGTAAGGGGATCACGGGCATGGAGCGGGGAAAACTGTTAATGACGAAGACCTTTGTTTTCCTTAGGAGAGGACAGAGCAGTCTAGCAGTAATTAACAACCCCTATTAGCTTATTTTAGTACCACATCTGTTATTTGTAGAGGGCAACAATGGTTAACATATCAATTAGGTAAGATTTTACAATTCTTTACAGAGTAGAGCATTGATTAACATATCAATTAGGTCACCCAGAGGGGGAAACAAAACACATACACAGTTACAGGTATTTTGGTATAATACAAATATAACAAAGCTCTTTTTTCTAGTGTACAACAGGTGACAGAGGGAACAAATATTCTCGGCCTTGCTTTCATCAAGTCTGCAGGTTTATCTTTCTCATATGACTTCTTATCAGTCTTAACAATTATGGTGTCAACATGTTAAGTTGTTGTATGGAGATCACTTGAAAGAGCACTCCACAGGCTAGGCCGGAAACCAGCCTTTGCTTTCCTTCCTCTGGTGGAGTGAGCTTCTGTTTCCATCTTCCTCCCTGAAGGCTCTGAGCACCATCCCTGACTCGTGTACTTTAGCTTCTAACCACTCACAAGCCCAGAGGAGCAAGGTCCATGTCAGCATGATCATACCACATCCCAGGAGTCCAGTGCAGTGCCTGGCCCCTAGCAGGCATTTAGTGCACACTGGTCAAATAAATGAATTTTTCACTCCTTCAGCCACCATTAACTGGGTATCTGTTGTACACTGGTACAGTTGATTCGGAGGTAAATGTAATGGGAGCCACCTGATGTAAGTCTCAGCCCAGGGATATGAACAGCATAGCCATCAGTATCATCTTAAAACCTTTTTTTAACCTTAAATACTTTAAATGGATGTCAACTCAAGGTGACTATGGAAGAATGAGCCAAGTTTAGCTGGGAACATAGGAAAAAAGAACCATTTGATTTTCCTGTGGAGTTACAGAAGACTTTGCTAAAAGATGAGACGTGATTTCAACCTTACATGATGTAGAATTTGCACTAAGGATATTCAGGAAAGGAGCCTTTCAAATAGAGGGATCAGGCTGAGCAGAGGCACAAAGAGGTAAAAGTAATGCTTGGACATAGAGCAAAGCACGTGTAAATGACAAAAGATGACACTTGGAGATCAGACAACACATGTATTTCCCAGAGGATACAAGTGACTATCTCACAGAGGAATTGAAACACATTTAGTCATAATGAGTTCAAGAAAGAAAAGGTTTCTGACAGTTAACATTATAACTAGCGGGTTCAGCCTAATATATTGATTTAGATTATTCTCAAGTAAAGACAAAATGGGATCCACCATCTCAGTAAATGCATTTCCAAACGCATCAAGGGAAATCTAGGGCCCAAGTACAGTTTTTCCAATCTGCGACTGGTTTGACAGCCATAAAGGAGCAGAGGCACCAGCCAGCATTTCTTTGCCCACCGGTCAAGTGCCTCAAATGTCTCCTGGCACAGCAGGCAGAACTTTCCAGTTCCACAGGACACAATTCTGACCAGGTCTCTCCACTCTCCCCAGAATACAGGACCGCTAAGGGGCTTGGCCGGCTCCTTGGAGCTGCCTAACAAGGCAAGGGGCTGCCTGTACACAGGCTCTCTCAGGCTCCATCAGAGGTTCAAAGTCCCCGAGGGCAAAACCCCGTCTTCTGCTAGTTTGCCTACTCTTTCCAGTTTCTAGCTCAGTTCTCTGTGCATTTCCTGCTCAGGTTTGAAGATTTTCAGTCACAGAGGGCAATACATAGGGACAAGTTTAGAAAGAGGGTAATTGCGCCGCGGGATCAGCGGTCTGGAGAGCTCGGAAGAAAGGCAGTGTCAGGAAAGGGCGCGGAGAAACGCAGGGTGGAGAGGGCGGTTATGCCGGTGTTACTTTGCCTGAGGCTGCAGACTGGAGCCCAGAAAACCGCGACTGGGAAGACAGCGAGCGGGGACAACCAGCCGGCGCTGGGGGAGGGGATGCTGTGGGGAGGTGGCTCTGCGGGCCTCCAGAGGGTGTATGAGCGAGAAACTGACACTGTGTGTGTGTGTGTGTGTGTGTGCGCGCGCGCGTGTGTATGTGTGTGTGTGTGTGCGCGCGCGCGTGTTTGTGCGCGCGCGCGTCTGGCGCCTGGCCAGGGTGATTTCCCATAAACCACATGCCCCACGAGCCGCCCGCTTAAAAGGCTGTGCCGAGCGCTGGCCAGCGAAGCTCGGCCCGGGGAAAGTGAAAGTTTGCCCGGTCCTCTCTGTGCTGCAGCCCAGCTCTCTGCAATCCGGGACAGCAGCACGGCTTTCGGCCTGGGCGCGGACTTTGCAACAGCCAGCGAGAGAGGAAGAGATTAGGGTGTCCGAAGCGCCCGGCCGGCACCCAGCTGCCCATATGACCGCGCGAGGCGCCACCGGCCGCTGCCCTTCCATGGTAAGCAGCGGCGCAGCGCGGGCCCGGTGCGGGAGGATGGGGGCGCGGCGGCGGGCTGCCAGGCGCTGCCCCCTGGAGCCGACCTCCCTACTACCCGAGAGTTCCCGCCGCGGCCTCAGGCCCGGCTCTCTCAAATGCCTTTGCGCGTTGGCTCCTGGCGCGGGCCGCCTGGATCGCAGCCGTGTGGCTGCTTCTGGGGCTGTGAGGCTTCCCCGGGAAAGGGAAGGCGGCGAATCCCCATTGTACGGAGGGGTACACTGAGCCACCCACAGGCAGGAGAGAGGGTTTTGCAGTCGCGGGTGAAGGCCTTGTGTCAGTCAGGATGCCCTGCCTGTTTCTAGATAGAGTAGATGAGCACTGAGTGTGGCGCCACGGTTCCCATGGGCAGCCTTCTCCAACAGTGCACGTGCTTCTAGGCCCTGGTGGGTGCAAAGTGGGCACTTCTGGTTGGGGAAAGTTCAGGGGTCATCCAGCTTTGGGTTGCTGGGAGCAACCTGCTGGCCGAGCAAAGGAGATGGGCAAGCAACTACTTGTTCCAGCCTCGAGGCATTAGCTGTTGGGCACTTGTGTGTGTTTTAGGAAGATCTGGTCCCACAGCTGCCAAAGACTAACCCCGAATCTCTTTTCTTCTTTTTTTCCTTCTTTCTTTTGTGCTAAACCTTGTTCAATAAGTTGTGAGATCTGAGCTTCACATAGAAAAGTGTAAGGAAGATTGTAGAGTTGTGGACAGGGGCTGCTCAGAGCCGTAGAGGGGATACTTGGCCCCAACAGTGGCAGTAGCTACTGCGGCTCCTAGAAAATTCTGTTACAAATAAACAGCAAGTGACCCCATAATGTGTTTACTTTTGAGGAACCCTGCAGGAGAATGAAAAGAAAAACCAGAGAGGGGGTTCACAGGGGAGGACATGCCCAACCGAGTCAAGAGATGAGTTTGGGAGAAAGGAGGTCAGGCAAAGAGTTAAGGGCTGGAGGTGAGAGCAGGAGCAAAGAGGTGGAGCATGCAGGAGGAAAGAAAAAGGGCCAGGTTTAGGTGGGGGCAGTGGAGAGCCCAGTGACACAAGGGCTGTCTCTGTGACACTTTGTTGAAGAAGGTAGACCACGAGGATGACAGGTGAGGATGGACAGCTGTGCTAAGATGCCCGTATCTGTATCTCTCCAAGCCTTCTGCAGAGATTCCTTCCTAGGGCTGCTCCCACAGGGTGGGTGGGAGGAAGAAGGAAACCAGGAAGAGCCTGTCCAGCCAGATGCAAGCCAGAGCCTTAACCCTTGGGTGCCCATCTAGGTTCTCTTGCAGAATCTCTGAGACCTATATTCAGGATGGCCCCCTTTGGCCATCTTCAAAGTCAGCTTCCTACATGATGACCACTCTCCCACTACTGATGCCTGACATGCAGCCCAGAACCAGGCATCTCATGGGTTAAGCACTGCCCGTACCTTGCTGTTAAACATCTGTGTGTTGAAAAGCACTCAGTGGGGTTGTCTTCCTGGGCATCCTCTTCCCTAACGGCAGTTTCATTTTTACCTCTTGCACCTGGGGCTCAGATCCTCAGTGTCATCCCGCCAGGGGCAGAGTCATGGTGCAGCTGCCTGTAATAGGTCCTGATCCTGAGATGTCTAAAGGCCCGAGCAGCTGTTCCCATCCTGGGCTCCCTCTCTAACTATAGAGCCCGAAGTACTCTGCAGTCCATGACTATCCTGCCCTCTTTCGGTCTCCCTCCCAGGTCAAGCCAGGGCCCTCACAGGTCTTGTGCTAAGTGCATTGGGCCACCAAATGCCACCTTCTGTGCAGGTGGGCACTTCTGGCTGGGAAAAATCCAAAGGTCCTGCAGCTTTAGAATACTAGGGTCTTCCTCTTCTGCTATCGACTTCTGTCTGAGTTTGAGGCCTCATTATATCCCTTATCCCTGTAGCTTCCCTGATAGCTCAGCAAGAGCTGGCTTTGTAAGAACAGCAAAGCTTTGGGTTTTAGATATAAATCGGCATATTGTTGTGAGCTGCTTCTAGGCCCTCTTATTTTTTTCAATGTACTACTGATTTGTAATAGTGTCCCATCATCTGGATTACTGGGACAAAGCCCAGATCCCAGAAAGTGCCAGCCCTCATCCCACCATGCCAACATTTCCCTGAATTTGGGGCCATCAGCTGCCAGGAGGCTTAGGCACTCCCAGGGGGGCAACTTCTAGCTGGAGGGGAAAATGTCCAAGGGTTCCTCTGCCTCCGGCTGGAGAAAGGAAACCCTAAGACTAGAAATAGGGGTGAGGGGGCCTTGTGCGGAGGACTAATGGAGATGCAAAGAAGGTCAAAAACAGTGTCAGAAGCCAGTGCTGTCACCTGAGGGCAGGTGCTGAGGCAGGTAAGTGCTGAAAGACAGGAGGCTTCTCTGCTAGCTGGAGTGCCTGGCTAGCTGGATGCACAGCCTGATGGGACAGATAGGTAAGGGCCAGCCAGGGATGGTCCCAGGCTGGATCTGCTGGCTCTTATTAATCAACTAGGCTTCTTTTTGATACATATCCCCAGAGTTCCAGAAGGTCTCTGGCATGGGATGTGTTCCCTATGAAACTGAACTTGGCTCCCTGGCTCTTCCAGTGGCAGAGTCAGAGCTGTGGAGAAGCAGGTGTAAAGAAGGACTAAGCCCTGGAGGAAAAATCTCTGACTTGTGTCTGGAAGCTGGTACATACATGAACTTGAGGGAGCTCACCAGATGCTTAATTTAGTGTTAAGACTGCAGGGGTAGAATAATGAATAGAAGCAAATCCTGTTTTTGAAGCGTTTCTGTGCCATTAGAATTTAGACTAGTAAATGCACCAACTGTGTCGTCTCTAGAAGTTTGATGCACATCAATCTGTGGTTGTCCTGGATTCATTGGGGAAGGCTCCTCAGAGATTGTAGTTTGATTGTTAAGGAGGGGACACAAGTTTGTACCTTGGCTGATAATAAATCATGGGAAATCTGAGTTTGAGGATGTGTATCCTAGGGTGTGAATCAGAACCTGTAATGTTATAGGTCTGAGATCTTTGATTTCTGTCCTCAGTAGGGTATAAAGGTAGCTGGGGAAAGTGCAAGCTGGGGAGAAATGACATGTTCTCTGTCACAGGCATGGCTGTGCCCCTGGCTGCTGCTGGTGTTACCCCTGGTGAGCAGGAGTATTGCCGAGGAGATATCAGAGCACTGCAGCCACATGATTGGGAATGGACATCTGCAGGCCCTGCAGCACCTAGTGAGTATGTGGCCATGCCTTCTCCTTTGGGGAAACTGAAGCAGGAGCCAAGGAACAGGGTCAAAGAAGAGGGCCTGCAGGAATGAGGGCTACCTAGGCCATGCCTAACAGGGCTCCTAAGGCCTGTTTTGGCTCAGGGAATGAATAACTCCTTTGGAAGACAGCCCCATCTGCCTGCTGATTCAGATGTATCTAGCTCCTAGATTCCCAGATATACCATCAGCCTGGCATCAGGGCCCCCACCCAAATTTGGAGGGGAGGCTTCTGCCTAACTACTAGTCCTCTACCCTTACTTCCCTGGCTCTTGCCCCAGAGGCTGAGATGGCCTCACAATCTGGGCCATGAAGTAGCCCATGTCTTTGGAATTGTCAACAGTTCCAAACATGGTCCACCCAGGCAGCATCAAGGTATTGTCATGGCTTCTGTTCTTCCCCACAAGAGAATTTACCATCTCTCTGGCCAGTCAGGCAGGGAGCACACTACTGGCTAAGGCTAGCTCCAGGGCCCTGAACTTAGGACCTTGGGCTGGGCCTTACATTTCTCTTTCCCCTCCACCACTCTTGCATACAACTGCTGTAGATATGCAAGGCAGACCAAAGGCCATAGCATTCTCTAAGGCTTAGAACATAAACTCCTGCTCTGAAAGTCTAATAGGGGCTTTAAGGGCATCGATCTCTGGCCCCTATAGATGTTGAATTTCCAGAACTTGGTAGCCCTTGCTTGAATTTCTGCCATAACAGGATACTCACTACCTCCAAAAAGATTGCATCCTATACTGCCCTATATATTTCTCATAGATTCTTCCTTATAACACTGGCGTCTGCAATTTCATGGAGAGTGAAGTAAAAGGAAAAGATTTTTTGCTCTTCCACTGCCTCCTCTAGGCATATGGAAGGCATGGGCCTTCCCCCCAGCTTTGACTCTGTCTTTCCAGGTGTGGTTGGGTGTAGAGAGGAGCTAGATGAAATTCAAACCATGGTCCATCCAGAAACTATGGTGGCTAGGCCCCAAAGAAGCCCATGTCTCAGTTTAATCAGACCAACAGAATCATTAACAATTGTGAGGCTAGATTAGCTGCAGATACCCTGCAATTACTGGCTTGCTGTCTTTACAGATTGACAGTCAGATGGAGACTTCGTGCCACATTACCTTTGAGTTTGCAGATGAGGAGCAGTTGGTGAGTGGCAGCTATTTGCCAGTCTGTGTGTCAACCTATGTGCTTTTCCCAGGGATGGGGGCATGTAGGAACATGAAGGCACAGAAACCCTAGAGGATCCCTGGGTACTCCAGTCTGGGGTGACAACAGGTGGGGCTGAGCAGGACTCAGGGCTCGAGTTCTCTGCTCTTCCCTTCTGCATGGTGCATAACAGAGCTTTCTGGTTACCCACTTTTCCAGTTTAGGCCTAACAGTGGCACTAGGTAGTCCCTGTTCATTGTTTATTATCCTCATAGAGGTTAAAGGAGCATAGCTAGTAAGTGGTCAGAGCCTCATGAGAGCTCAGGCACTTTATCTCTAGGGCCTAAGAAATACAGACAACCTCCTTTCACATCATGTACTTTAGAAATCGATGTCATCTCCACTCTCCAGAAAGTCAGCAATATTGGAAGTGATCCAGCCCATCTTCCTAATCTACACCTAGCCAAACAGCAGATGTGGCTGATTCAGCCTCCCAGCCTCTCTAGGCTCTGTCTCCCCACAATCTGATTCCCCAAATCAGGCACTACCACAATTTCAGGAGCTTCTCTGGCCTGAGTCTGGAACACCCCCCACTCCTACCTGTCAAATAAGAGGAGCTTTGTGAAACCCCAGGTTGATTCTTCACCTCCTCATCCCTCCACGAGAAAGCACAGGCTATCTAGTCAGGTGTCTCCTTGCACAGCCTCATACACATCCATTTCCTATCCTCTTCCCTGCTCCTCGATGCCTCTGAGCCGTTGCTGACACCCGTCTCCTCGCTGTAGATGGGAGTCCACCACTATGCCATGGCTCTTTATCTTGGCACCTTGGACAGAACAGCCATGCTGCCCAAAATTGGCTTCCATCTGAGTTTCCACGTACCAAACCTTCTATTAAAAAACTGAAAACCAGCTGATGGTCCAAAGAACAGTCTCAGTATTTCATTCCTTCACTTTCTCTGTCTCATTCAGATATTTACTAGAAATCCAGTGGGTGAGGTGCAAGAAACAGAGCTAGAATAGAGTTTGTATCTAGAAAGTAGCTAGCATCATGGCACAGAGACAAAACACTGAGGATATTCTTTGGACCATGGAATAGTCCTCAGCACCCCTATTTTCTGGTGGATTTGCAAGTGCCATATCTGTGAAAGCACACTGAGAAGAAGTAGCACTAGGGATCTGAACCCTACCCTCTATATGCACATCTATCCTAATTAAAACATTGTATTCCAAAATTCCAAAGATCTCGTTAATCACAAATCGATGTTTTCTTCACTTTAGTTCAGTCGCCATAGTGCTAGGTCCCACGTGAGACTGAAAGACATCTTGAAGGCAGAATTCTCCTCATCTCTAACGTGATGCGTGTCTTCCCCAGGGGTGAGAGGAGACCAGGCTGCAGTCCTCCATGTACCTCAGATTGCAGGAATCTAGCAAAAAGCTTTGGTCCCACGTCCCACCTGCCGGGCCATAAACTCTTGGTTCCTGATTTTCAGAAAGACCCTGTGTGCTATCTTAAGAAGGCATTTCTCCTGGTGGACGACATAATGGAGGACACCATGCGCTTCAGAGATGAAACTCCTAATGCCAAGGCCATCATCCAGCTGCAGACACTGTCTGTGAGACTGAAGAGCTGCTTCACCAAGGATTATGAAAAGCAGGATAAGGTAAGCGGGTCCTGGACCTGGAGCGCTATAGAGTGAAAGATAGCTAGAGAGGAACTAGCCCACATGCTCAAAGTGCATTCACTCACCTTTCTTCATCCATCACTTACTCATTCATTTACTCTGCAAACCTTTACTTTGGACTTGTTGGCAGGAGACAGAGTGCTGGGCTGGGAAGATGTCCTCAGAACAAGAAATTCAAGGTTCTCACCTTTGCGGAACTTAGGGTCAAGTGGGGGTGGGCAGCTGTTAAACAATGGCAACTACAAACCAGCAGGGTTGTTTATGCATCTAGCAAATCGTTCTTGAGTGCCCATTGTGTACAAGGTGCTGTCCTAGACATCAGGAAACAGCTGTGATCAAAACACAGAAATCCCCACAATTACGGAGATTACATTTGGCAGTGGATAGGTCAATAAAATATATAGACAGTAAAATGACAAGTTAATAAAATTGTACAAGTACAATAAAATTACAAGTTAATGAAACATACAAGTAAAATATGTAGATAGAGCTTGGTGACAACTGCATTAGAGAGAGAGTAAACCAGGCAAGGGGAGACTTGTGGGAGGTGAGAGAGTAAGCCCCAGACTCAGAGAGCAACAGGGAACTCTAAATTAAGTGACAGTGCACAGAGACAAAGACTTCCAAATGAGAAATAGTAACTGGGATTCCAAAGACAGGTAAGAGTTAGAGAGCAATAGAGTGAAAGTGAAAAGAGGGAGAAAAAAAGAAAGGAACTAGACCATCTGGGCTGTCAAAAATGTGTGATTTTTGTCTTCATTCTGAGAGAAGCCATCATGGACTGGGAAGCAACCTAATATCACGTTGTAAGACTGTTCTGGTTGCTATACAGAGAATGGACTCCAGGGAACAGGAATGGAAGCTGGGAGACCAGCTGGAGGCTCAGGTCCAGGCAGAGCAGGTGGCAGCTTGGGTGAGGATGGTTCAGTGAAAGCAGAAGTGAGCAGACGCATCCCAGTGGGCTGCGCGTGGACCTGACTTAGTTCATGTAGAAGAGCTGAAGGGAGGAGAGAAGGGAAAAGGCAGATTAGTTTTATCTTGAGCACCTGCATATTTCAATGATGTTAAAGTGGCAACGGGCCGAACAAGAAAAGAGGGCTGTGTGTCTGGGTGTCAGGACGAAGGAACCACCAGCTTTTCAAATGGTGTGGAGAAATCAAGCAAGATAGGAGCTAAAAAGCATCTGTTTGATTTGGCAACACAGAGGTCCCTGTTTAGAGGCAGACTGGAGTGAACAGAAAGAAGCGGAGACAACACTGTGGAGAAACTTGAGTCTGAAAGATAGCAGAAGAGATGTGGCTGGAGGGCACGTGTGGTTGAGGGAGAAAAAGATTCTTCAATAAGAGATATTAAATCTGTGGTGGGCCAACATTAAGGTATCTGAGAATCACTGGGGAGCTGGTTTAAAGTGTAGGGTCCCAAAGTGCAAGGTCCTGAGTTCAATTCCCAGTACCGGAAAAAAATAATAAAAAATAAATTAAATTAAATGTAGAATCCAAGCACAGACTTCTAAAGATTCTGTTTTACAGGTCCAAAAGTGAGTCCAGGAATCCACATTTTAGGAACCTGTGCTGCCCCTGATTAAGAGAAAACTTCTTGGGCTCATTTGGGTAGACACCCACTGGTCCACAGAACAGCCAGTGAATGCTGAGAATGGACCCAGCAGGGAGGGAGCCATCCAAACCAGAGGAGCTGGTCCCGTGTGTGTCTAGGTAGGGGTTCAGCGCTCCCAGGCAGACAGTGTACCTCTCTGCTGAGACAGGTCAGGTGTCAGGGCTTCTGGCCGAAAATCCTTACACCCCTGTGAAGCATGAGGTGAAGTGTGCAGGAGCCTGGTTAACAAGGAGAAAAGCAAGAGCACTCTGAGGAGAAGCTTGATAGGGAGCTGTTCTTCCCTCACTTCACACGTGAGGAAATGAGCCCAAACTGGACAGTGTGTTTGGTTATTGTCACCTAGCTTCTGAGAGCTGTAGCTAGACCAAAGCATCTCACACATACATTTATTTAGTAAACAGTTATCACAAGCCTACTCTGTGCAGTCCAGAGGGAGGTGGTGATATCCTCAAAGACTTTGCAGCCTAGGAAACCCCATAGCTCTTCTCCGTATAGCTCAGTTTAAGGAAAAAGTTGGTGCCTGGGGGCTGCTGGCAAGTAGGTCATAATGAAGTTGTGAGCATGCATGTGTTGACGTGGTGTGAGAGTGGAGGCAGGACCAGAACTGAGCCCTGCCTGAGGAATTTCAGCATTAGAAGTCAGGAGCCTGCAAAGGACAGTGAAGCGGATGCTGGATAGGTGAAGGAAACACAGCTCCTCTGAGTGAGGGGACTGGTCCCAGGAGCAGAAAAGAAGAAAGCCACTCAGCAGACAGGTGTGGGGCACCTCGGCCCATCCTCCAAAATGCACCAATGCCAGCAAAGGACCCCATCCCTTCTCGCTCCCTTATTCCATTCTCTATACCAAAACAAAATGATTTTTCTAAAACTCAAGTCTCTGTGTTACACTGTTCACCTCCCCAAAAATTCTTTGAAGTTTCCCTTTTTTCTATAGATAAAATTAAATTTTTGCCATGTTCAAAAAGCCGCTACAGACCAAGGATGTGGCTGACTTCCAGTTATTGCCACTTTCCTCTAGATTGTAATACTGCAGCTATTTCAGTCTTCTGACAACTTGAGACATTTCATACACTTTTCTGCCTCAGGACTTTTGCACAATCCATTCTCACTACCAGAGTGGTTCTTCCAAACCCTACCTTTTCTCCTGATTAATGTTTCTTTCATCTTTTAGTTGATTCCTTGGGGAATTTCTCCCTGAACCCTCATCTAGTTCTGTTGTTATACACCTTTAGATTGCTCAGCACTTTCTCATAAAGCTCCCTGCAGATGTAACAGTTTATTTAGTGCCAATGACTTGCTGGACTCAGTGTCCAGCTCAGGCAGGAACTATATCTCTCTTGTTCATTGTTCTGTACCCAGTAATTAACTAGATGCCTGGCACATAAATTTGTATGGGTAGATTCATGAATAAATACCATATCTCCATAACCTCAGAGCTGATTCTGCTGCAAACCAGAGGAAGGGGAGAAAGCAGACAAAGGGGGAAAAGAAGATTGACGTAAGAAAGGCCAAGGGAATTTAACAAACATGATAGTTACATTAAGCCAATAGTCATGCTCACCAAAGGGGGCCCTGCTCTCCTTCCAGGCCTGTGTCCGAACTTTTTATGAGACTCCCCTCCAGTTGATGGAAAAGATCAAGAATGTCTTCAATGAAACAAAAAATCTCCTTGAAGAGGACTGGAAGATTTTCACCAAGAACTGCAGTGACAGTTTTGCTAAGTGCTCCAGCCCAGGTAAGCACCAATGGGCCAGCAAGTGGAAGATGGCATGTGGGGCTGGGAGGATTTGGCTGCTACATGTGTTTCTGTGTGTGTAGAAGTGCTTGTTTCGTGGACATGTGTGGCTTCGTGTACCTTGGGGTCTTTTCTAGCATGTGTGTATGCATGCCTATGTCTATCTGCATGTAGAAACTGGTGGCTGTGAGGTTAGGGGTAAAGCAATATAGGCATGAAGGGATACCCATCTCCAGCTCTGCAGACTGGCCAAACTTATGGAGGTTCTGTGGAAAGAGCAGACATCCCATCTGGTGTCTGTGAATCACCAGGATACCCTGGCTCCACAACTCCCCAGGATGCCTTGGGAGTCCCCTCAAGGGACAAGGCTGAATTTGAAGTCTGAACATCAAACTCTTCTGTCGTTGGCTCACACTTTGTACTCTGTGTGTCCTCGTCTCAGCGTCCTGTGCCAGTGCCGTACTTCATTCAACCTTGCTCTCTGAGGCACGAGCTGAGGTCCTGCAACTGGCCAATGGCCAAGTCCAGTCTCATTGTTTCAATTCCAAAACCTCAAGCTTTGGTCATACTCCACATCAGCCTGCTCTTGTTGGTGCCTATGGGCTATGTGGCTCCTGTCTGTGCATGAAATCAGTCGTGGGTGCTTCTGTGTCTTGTGTTAGTCTGGGAGGTCATGGCTCAATCTCCTGGCTGCTGCTCACATCTGGCTTGGCCTCTGCCAGCTGGAACCCCAGTACAAGTTGTCCTTTGATTTTCTTCACCCTGGATCCCAGTCTGTACATCTGTGCCACTCTTTGCACTCTGCCCGTGATTCGCTGTTCACTGTTCCTTCCTCGTCTGAGTCCTGTGTCATGAGCATTTGCTGCAATCTGTCCCCTCCTCCTCAGCCTCAGGCTGAGTTAGGAGATGAGAAACGGCCATACCCACATCCCCCTCTTGGCCCCCTGGAGAAGCTGTGCTGGAGGCTGGTGACTCTATTTCTTCCGTGTCTTTCTCTCTCCCCCTCTCTGTGGTTCTTTCAGATGTGGTGACCAAGCCTGATTGCAACTGCCTGTACCCCAAAGCCACCCCTAGCAGTGACCTGGCCTCTGTCTCCCCTCACCAGCCCTTCATCCCCTCCAAGGTCCCTAAGACTGGCTTGACTTGGGCTGATTCTGAGGGGACAGAGGGCAGGTCCCTCTTGCCCAACAAGCAGCTCCTTCACACAGTGGACCCAGGCACTGCAAAACATCGACCACCCAGGAGCACCTGCCAGAGCCTCGAGTCACCAGAGACACCAGGCCTCGAGGACAGACCTACTGGAGGTTCACCACAGCCTCATCCTTCTGCCAGGACCCCCGGCTCTGGGGTGAAAGGCATTCTTGACTCTGGACTGGACACTGCCTGGGCCTTGGAAGAGGCCTCTGGTGAGGCTAGTGAGGGTCCCGTACCTCAAGGGGCAGAGTTTTCCCTCTCCAGGCCAGAAGAGGGCAGCATCCAGGTACAACAGGCCATACCCAACAACCTCCTCTCGGCATCTTCTATGCTCCCAACAACCGAGGACCAACAGCCACCCTTGCCTGAGGTGGACCCTGTGAGATCCACTGGCCAGGCCAAGCATGATGTTCTTGAGAAGACAGACCATGCATCTCTCCTGCCCACAGAGGGTGAGGAGACAGGCTCTACCCAGACCTCGTCACTTCGACCCCAAGGCCTCAGCAATCCTGCCACCCTTTCTGCTCAGCCACAGCTTCCTGGAAGCCACTCCTGGGGAATTGTGCTGCCCCTTAGAGAGCTGGAGGGCAAGAGGATCACCAGGAACCGGAGGAGCCCTGCAGAGCTGGAAGGAGGACAAGCGAGCAAGGGGGTAGCCAGGCCCCTGGCCTCTTTTAACTCCGTTCCTTTGACTGACACAGGCCATGAGAGGCAGTCTGAGAGAACCCTCAACCCCCAGCTCCCTGGGTTCGTCTTCTACCTGCTGGTGTCCAGCGTCATCCTGGTCTTGCTGGCCGTTGGTGGCCTGCTGTTCTACAGGCGGAGGCGGAGGGTAAGGAGGCCCCGGGGAAGACAGGAAGGCACTCACAGAGGCAGAGCTCAGACTGGGTGTGACTGTAGGCTGGAGGATAACCTGAGTTCCACCCGGGCTCTTCAGATGCTGAGCAGTGGGGTCTGACCTAGCACAAAGTATGGAAAATAGAAACGGAAATCTGTTTCAAGAATCAGGAAGGTTCCAGCCAGGAAGTTAATGGGAAGGGCCAAGCATAAGGAAGTAGGAAAAAAAATTGGGGGCTAAAAGCAGGATGACAACTGGGCAGGAGGAGGAAAGAGGAGAACAGTGCTGTACATGGGATCTCTGCAGAGCCATAGCATGAAGATTCACTGGATGTGGCTGCAGGGGTAGGGACAGGGGTGTGGGTGTCCTTAGCAAAAAGAGGCCTTAGGAATTTTCCCTGCCTTCTGCATGATCCAACTTTTGAGTAGTTGGAGGACTCTGGTAACTTACACTTTAATGGCTGGGAATGGGGCCACTATCACCCCCCCCATACACACTTCTCAGCAAGTCTGTTCTTTTCTGTTTCCAGAATCATCAAGAGCCTCTGACAGTGGATTCTCTCATAAGGCTCCCAGACAGCAGGTGAGAGGTTGGGTTGGGCTCAGGGAGGCACTGGAGGTCTGACTTGAGATCTTTTTACCTTTTATCCTTGAGTAGGGGAGGCTTTCCTTAATTTCTCTGAGAAAATGGAGCTATAGATCAGAATGGAGGTGGGGAGGAAGGGCCTCTTTTCTTTCCTAGGTAGCTGGAGCTTTTTCCTGATTTCTTCTTAGAGGTGGGCAGTTCTAGGTCTTCTAAATCTGAGTGGGCAGGAGCACATCCTGTCTGAGGATTGAGGATACGCCTATAGGGGTGACTCCTGTGCTCCTGCTGAAGTCTTATGCTGGTCCTATGCTCTGCCTGCAGCTCCATGATCCCGGATGAGGACAGACAGGCGGAACTGCCAGTATAGAGGAAATCCTAAGGTAAAATTCTAATTTTGATCTCTCTCTACCCCTCATCTGTTGCTGGAATCCCCAGCTCCCCTGAGGCCCAAACACTTGCCCCTCTTCCATTGGTTTCCAAGTCCCTCTAGCAGGCACCTTCGCATGTACCTCACACTAGATGTTCTACATTTGGCAAGGTTATTTCTACCTTCCAGGTTTTGGAATCATAGTGTCATAGAATCTGAGTCTAAAGAGGGATTTCAGAGGTCCTGTGACCTTTGACCACCCTGATAGGGACAACAGGTCCCGCATCCTCCAACATGGGGTCAGCCAGCTTCCTGACACATTGTCCAGTCCCTGTCAAGTTCTTCACCTAGCCACAGCCTGTGTCTTCTTCAGTTAACTCAGAGAAAGGCCTTCCTCGTGGGAGCAAAACTGCCTTTCCTGCCCCTTCCTCACGGCTCCTACTTCCTGTTCTCACGAAGCCCTCAGACATTTAAAGCACAGCCAAGTTCTTCAAATATTGTTTACATGATATGGTTTCAGACCCCTCGCCATCTGGGACACATTTGTTTGTCAATATCCCTCTGAAAATACGGTACCTAGCGCTGGAGACAGTACTCCAGATATTGTCTGTCCAGCTTAGAGTACATCTTCCTTGGTCTGGACAGTTTTCTTCTCACTCAGATTGATTGCATTAGCTTTTAATAACTACATCACATTGTTGTCATATACTGAGTTGTGGTCTACTAAGAACCCTAATTCTATTTCCCCTGAACCTCTACCCAGCCAGCCATCTCCATTCTGTACCTGCACAATTTTTTTCTTTTTTTTTTCACTAAAGCACAGTTTATACTCACCCTTGCTCAAAGCACCCTTCTGCCCATTCTCCAGGCAACTGAGAATGTTTCCACTCCTAGTTCTGTCATTTTTGTGACCCCCTGCATGTTGATGAGTGCCTTTGTTGGCCTTACCCATGTTTTTGATAAAGATGGGATGGGTGTTGTTCCTTCTCAACTCCATCCCACAAATGGCCCACCAGGAACCCTTCTTGACTGTCTCTCCAACCCTCTGGTTGCTCCTTTAACACACACCCCTCTTCTATTTTGCATCTTCTTAATCCTACATTTGTTTGCATATATTTGGTTGCTGTTTTTTTTTAAAGTCTTATTTTATGTGTATATGTGCACTCTGCACTGCTAAGAAGTTTCTAAGCCACCTGATGGGACTTTCTTCCACTTCTTTTGCATTTCTTTTTTTCATTCCAGGTTCTAGCACAGAGAGGGTCACTCCATACTTGCCCGGAACCTTCTCCATTCCATTCTCTTTTCTCTGCCAAGATTTCACTTGGACAGGGGACAGGGAAGGGCCACAGGGAAGGGCCACAGTGAGGCCCACTTGGCTCACTAGGTGACCTATGGTGGCCCTCTGTCAGGCACCAGCGGTCCAGACTAGTGCTTTGATGAGGGAGTTGAGAGCAGAAAACTCAGAAGCATCTGTGAAGGACATAGGGCTATAGAGAACTCAGACACCAGCACCTCACTGACAGGGAACTGGAGGTCGGAGAGCAATCTGGAGCATGCCCTCTTGGTCCTTTTTCCCTCTTGGGCCCTGGCGGAATCTGTGACCTGGCTATGCCATTATGGCTCATGTTCAGCTATAGTTTCCCCTTCTCTCCCCTCCAGATCATGGGAATGGGCTGAGAGCCAGAGCTGTGGGTCCATCTTCCCTCCTTACCCATCACAGACTTGACCAGTGGGGCCATAGACATGAGGGAGGGAGGCACTACATAGAGTTCAAAGTCAAACTGTTGGATGGAGTCCAGGGGATTTCTGCTCTGGGAACAAAGCGTTCTAAGGATGCTAGGCAAGGGGACAAGGGGGAGGGGGGGTGGAGAGAGGGCAGGGCCCTGGCTCCCACGCATGATGCGAGAGGCAAATACCTCGGCCCATCTGGGTGACTGAGTGGCTCAGGGGTAGCATATATGAGACAGGCAAAAATTTCCTTGTCCCAAAACTGTGCACCTCTGGCCTCCATTACCTTTGCCTCGATATCATCTGCTAAGATACTTTCTGATGAAGGGCGTGAAGGTGCAAATGCAATTCTTTGCTAGAAATAGCAGGCATCTCTATTGGTTCATCTGACATTTGAGCCCATCTTGTCCGAGGAAGGGTCTGCAAACACCAACGCATTCTTGCACCACTCCCCCCAAGCGTCTCTGCTTGGGCAATGACTCGTCCCCCTACTTCACCCTGACCTCCCCCAGGCCCTACTGCCTCCTCCTGTGGTCCCTGGTTCCCAGGAGGAAGTAGGAGGTGAGGCCAGTCTGTCCAGAGGCTTGGCTGACTGCCAGGCAAAGCTGCCTCTTCCCTCTGCGGTGTCTGGAGTGGCTGGGAGGGTAAGGGAAGAGATGGGAGGAAATCCTGCCTGCAGCACCGCCAGAAGCCCACAGGAATGCCATACCTCTCCAAGCCACGTCCTCAGCGACCCTCTCCACACTCCCACTCGGCTGACCAGCATCCCCTTTTCTCCCCTACAGCTGAGCACACAGGACTGTCTCTCCATGGGAGAAGATGATGGGGCTGTCCGCCACTACCCTCCCCAGCTCTTCTGGAAATGTGGCCTTTCTACCACCTGAGCACCTGCCTGCCAGGACTGGACCAGAGCAGCCAGGCTGGAGTTCCTACGACTTGACACTCAGACTTTCAACCGACTGAGAGAGGGCCAGACGACGCCCTGCACACTGCCACTATTTATTGTGGGCCCTGGAGGCTCCGTGAGCTTGAGGAAGGCTAGCGAGCTGGCTCAGGACCTTCTCTCTCAGGGTCTGCACCCTCTGCTTCTTCCTCTCCATGCCAGCACTTGGGTCAGGAGTCCACTCACCTGTGGCACGTGGGAGACAAGAGTGGGTGCTGAGGAGCCACCTGTTGCCAAGAGATGTCATCTTTGACGCAGAGGGACCTGTCTCCAGAGAGGCGTCTTTGATCAGGGTGGGGCAGAATCAGCCTGATTTCCTATAAAGACGAGCAGCCCCAAAGATAGGAAAAAATGAGGCCTCTGGCTGTGTGCACTAACAGCTTGAAAGGATCTACACCCTCTACTCACCTGAGTGCCCTCCACTGGTGGCCAGGTGGCAAGAGGAGGCCAGCTCTGCCCTCAGGACCTGCCTACCCTGACTCATGATGCCAAGAGGAAGACCTAGCTCTGGCCTGTACACCTCCTTCCCTCCAGCCCCTGCCAGAGCTTCTCCTGGAGGCTGGGCAGAAGCTCCCCTCATGAAGGAAGCCATTGCACTGTGAAAATTGAACTTGCCTGCTGAACAGCCTGCCCCATCCATCCCCATGAGTAAGCATCCGTCCAAACATCCCCGACCTCTCCAGCCTCTCCCCAGCTTCCTGCACTGAGCTGGCCTCACCTGTCAACTGAGGGAGCCCCTAAGCCCTAACTTTCTCTTGACCCAGCCTTTGACTCCTCGGGTGGAGCAGGTGTAATAACTACCCAGGCCACCAGCCAAAGCTGGTCTTTAGGCTGTGTGTTCACCTAGATTTCTGCATCTTGCACTTTGACATTCCCAAGTGGGAAGTGACTAGTGGGAGGGAGAGAAAGGGGAGGCCATGGAGGCAGACAGGTACAGGGAAAGCTCTGACTGAGAGCGATTTGGAAGTATGGATATGCCTCTGAGCCTGGGGAGACATCTGCACCCCAACCCCTCAGTCCAGTCTACTTTGTCTGCTGCCAGCAGACACCTGCAGCTAAACAGATTTTTCCCATCAGGAGCCCTGGAGCTGGGCTGCACTCCAGCCCCACCTGCATGGCCCCAGCTCTCCTTCTCTTTTGGTCCTTCTTTTTCCTGACCCCTTTCAGCAATGACACCCTCCAACTCTAACCCCATGCCCACCGTCCTGGGCCAAGCAAGCCAGAGCTGGAGAGGAACTAGACCAGGCACCTGCCTCCAACTCTACTCTGAGGACTTCTGCTTCCTGGACTGGCCCTTGCCATGGCTCTGAGACCTGGGCAGCAGATGACAGGGCTGTCACTTGACCCTCAGTCCCTTTATGCTGCTGTGTCCCTCCTCTTCTGCCATCCTGGGCCCTCCACTGAGAGATCCTGCCCTCCCTGGTTGTGACCTTCTCTCCCTGCCAGAGAGTGAGGGTCTGCTGGCCCACTGCCCCATCCTGATGATGACAGCTGAGGGAAGGGCAGCTGAGAACTTTCTTATGGGGCTCATCCTTCTAGTCACAGACTCCATATTCCATGCTAGAAAACATGTATTTTAAAATGGAAGGATAGAAAACAGATAAAAAGATATTCCCCCATACCCATCAGTTTCAAACATATATTATTTAAAAAATCAAAACAGCAAATTCAACCCATTGCAGAAGCTCTCTGTGGGCACTTGGTGACACCATAGTGGAAGATGCTCCTCTGGGTGCCCCCGTTTTGGCTACCTGCACAGGATCCCTTACTTCCCTCTGAGAAAGCCCAGAGGGAACATTGGCTCACGAACTGTGAGAGTGTGTTTTTATACTTGGAAGTGGTGAATTATTTTATATAAGGTCATTTAAATATCTATTTAAAAAATAGGAAGCTGCTTATATATTTAATAATAAAAGAAGTGCACAAGCTGCCACGTGTGAGTCTTGGGAAAAGTTGTTTTTGGGATGTGGGTGGCAAATCTAGGGGTGGGCAGGCATAAGCTGCTGGGTGAGCCCCAGCTCAGAAAATTTTTTTCAGGGTACATGGGGAAGGAGAGCTCTCTCCCAAGTTTTAGACTTGTTACTAAAACCTCATGTATTGCTGCTGTCCGAAACATGCATCTACGTATCTGTGTAATAAGAAATCTGGCAAAAAGCAGCCAAACCTCAGGCCTGGCCACTGGCCCTTGTTCCAGCCCTGCCTCGCCCAGCCTGGGAAAATGGCTGGTTGGGCTCTATCCAAAGGCCCTAGGGGCCTGCAAGGAGGAGGCTTTGACCACTGAACCTTCTGGTCCATGGGAGAAGGAGCTGGCCAGGTACTCACCGGGTGCCGAGGTGAGCGCTCATTCCACCCTGGGAAAGGGACAAGGCTAGTGAGGGATGAGCCTGCCCTCTGTGTGAGGGACTTCCAGGCCTGATCCTCCCCCTGGAAGTGGAGAGGAGACCAAAGATGTGGCCTTTGATGGGGGAAAGGGATGTTATGAGAGAAAAGCAACTGAAAGTCCACGTGCCCCAAATACACACCTCAGGCAAAGCTGAGGCAAGAGGGACCTCCCCATCTCTGAGATGCAGTGGACAAAGTTCTGGATCATCTGTCCTGAAAAATACTGATATCTGAGCCCTACAACTAGATCAGAACACCAGGGTCTCAGGCAGGGACCAAGCATTAGACTCTGTAAGACATTTCAAGTGACTCAAATGGGATCCAGGGTGAGAAGCATCCTAACCACACTGTTGGATATAGCTTCTCTGCAAGTTTAAATTCATTAAAATCAAATAAAAATAAGTATCCAGCTGCTCAGCTTCACTAGCCACATATGGCTGCCATGCTGGACAGCACAAAGGTAGGATATTTGCATCACTGCAGAAGTGCTACCGGACAGTGCTACCTGAAAGCCTGGGTCCCTGCATTTAGAGGACCAAGGATGTAGAAATAGGACCAGCATTAAGTTTTCAGGTGTCTCAGTCCACTTTTCCTGTGTGTTTGCTCTCCTACCTCATCCCTCCCTATTTCTCCTTCTACCCAAAAGAGAGAGTTTTGAAGAAACATTTTTCCTTCAAGCTTTTGACTCAAAAGTTCTCGTCCTCTGAGAAGCCTCCCCAGCCTGACTCAGGCCCCTAAGGCCCCAGGCCTCAAGTTTTGGTCCTTCCTCCCCTGTGCTTTTCTAGACCTAGCACCTATCCTCCTGTCCTCTGTCCCTTCAGGCCATAGAATGTGGCAGAGACTGTGTTGCCCCTCTTCATATCCCAGTGGTTGAGCATACCCTGGCACACAGAGGTACTAAGTAAATGTAGGTCATGAACACATGATTAAAGAGTGGTAATGCAAATTCTCACCAGATTTCATCAATGCCATCTCCTAGGGCTCCTACAAGTATTAACCAATGGAATTAATACCTAATAACTACAATCAATGACCAAGCTGGGCAAGCATTAAAAGCAAACAGATCTTTCTATCTTCTGACAGAACTAGGTTAGAATTCTGCTCGATCAGAGACATGTATGCATAGGAGGTATATTTTAAAGCCTTTAAGCAACACTTGCAGGAAAACAAACAAAAACAGAATCCTACCCCTTATCTCCCTTTCCAGAAATCCCAGAAGTCCCAGAGACTCTCGGCAGCCCTTTTCTCAGGCTTGACCTGCTGCAGATGCTGTTTAGGAAGCATCAGACCTTTAAAGCACTATTCACGGGATTTAGAATGAGAATTTAAGTCCTTGACTTTGATGTCTTATTGCCTGGCTGTGTGATCTTTAGTAAGATGCTAGCCTCTGAGCCTCAGTTTTCTTGTCCTCTGTAGAACTACTTTTAAAATATGCACCAAATGTACTTAAACTGACATTCAAATAAAATGATAAACCCAAAGGCTCTTAGTGGACTCCAAAGGGCTGTAGTAAATGAAATGTGCTCTGATGCTGCCCTTGCCAGGTGGTTCAACAGTGCCCATGCCAAATAGTTTCATTGTGGGCACACAGTGGGGAATGAGGATGCTTCCAGGGTCTGGCTGATCTCTGTGGAAGGTGGCAAAGCCTGAATGGATGAGGAGATTGATGTGCAGGATCAGGAACTCCTGTTCGGAGTGTATAAGCAGAAGGGCCCAGCCAAACCTCTAAACCCCTATCCGGCCAGAAGCAGGAAAGTGAATCAGAAGCAACCAGGAAGAAGCCTGAGGTTAACCTCGTGCAGGCAGTGGGCCATGGCACAGAAGAGGTTGATGAGTGCTCTGGGGTCTGGGCAGAGCCTGGTGGGCATCCCAGGAGCCCCTGAGCAAGGCTCTAAAATTATTTGGAGGTGGAGAGTAACTAGGCACTGTGGGGAAAAGAGGCTAAGTTTCCCAGCCAGCACTCCTCCCCTGCCCCAGTGATGTCCTTTCTGCCAGAGCAGCACTTTTGTCCCTTGGTTTGCCTCTTGTGTTTTCAGGGAGTGGGAGCAGGAAACATCCTGGCTTGGATGCTGGGACTGCTGAGCGAACAGGGTGACCTATGCCAGTCTGGAAAGCCCCGCAGCAAAGAGGCTGAACACAGAGAGACCTGCTTTCTGCCCCTGCAGAGACTGTAGCCAGATCTTCAATTAGGGACTACAGGAAAGCTTGTGGGCTTATGCTGATAGTACCGTCTAGCATCCGCACTGACTCATCTCCAAAAGTGGGCGGTTGGGAGTCAGGAGAGGTAATGGATGGCAGCCCTTGCAACACCTCGAGTTCTGTAGGGACAGTTCCAGGGCAAGCAAGGGCTGAATGGGCAGCTCTGTGCCTCACAAAGGAAAAACAACGAAACATGGGCAGAGGACAGCCTACAAAGCTGAGGAGAAAGTGTCATTGTGTATATTCTTTCTACAAACTTGCCATGAGGAGCACAAGAAGAAAGAGTCAATGCATCAACTTTCCAAAGTTTTCTAAGAAGTTCTCAGTAAGGTGTCATGCCAGGACTGCAAAAGAGAAAAGAAAACCTGAAGACATAGCAAAGGCCCATGAGGAAAGAAAAACAAAAGCTTAAACTCCCTCAGAGAAAGCAAAAAGAAGTTCAAGGAACTTAAGGTATGCAAGAGGCCTCTGTCACCCTTCTTGTCCTGTCCTCAGTTCACCCCTAATCAAAGGAGAGCATTCCTGCCTATCCGTTGGTGGTGTTCTCACAAACAAAATTGTAAAACGTGGTGGAATAATACTGCTGCAGGTGACAGGCTGCCTTCAGAAGGCTGCTCAGCTGATGGAAAAATGCAGAAAAGATATTGCCGTATGCTGAGCTAATGGAAAGCCTGATACAGGCAAACAAAGGAAGAGAGCTGCAAAAAGCAAGAAGAGGAGACGGAGGAAGAAAAAGACAAGAAAGAAGATGATTCCACTGGTCACACTGGCCACTGGGGAGACTAAAGTAGAAGGAACACTTTAGCCCAAGAATTCAAGGCCCCTGGACAACATAGCAGGACCCTGTCTCAAGAAAAAATATAATATTTAAGTGGGTTCTAGCACAATTTTTTCTCATCTATAAAGCATGTAAACTATTCCCCACACTCAAGTTTCTCTTTTTAAAGAAAAAAAGATTAAATGTAAGGCTGTGTAAGATTTGTTTCTCAGTGGTAGAGTGTTCTCTTTTTGTGTATAGCACACTACCAAATGAGTCTTTAGAAAGCCCCATCTTCTCTGTATTTTCAGTGGCCTCTACACTGGTTGTTACAGGATGAGAGTCATAAGTTGGTATAGACATTTAAAGTAGGTTGGGTTGATACACAGTACAAATTAATTGTATATTGGGGATTGGCAGGGTTTTTATTTTTCCCTTTTAATTTGGCTCTGATGTGGCTTATACAAAATAAATCTGTTAACAGAAAATTACTCTATAATTGAAAAAAATACTGAAGCTTTTTATTGATGTTCTGAATGCTTTTAAGTAAATTTTTTAATTTAACAAAAACGAAAGAAAGAAAGGAAGGAAGAAAGAAAGAAAGAAAGTCATAGGTGGGGGTGATGGAGGAGACTGTGTCAGGATAGTTGTTAGGCAAATTCTTGAAGGGAGGTTAGATAAGAATCCGAAGTTAGATTCCAGCTACTGTGGTCCAGAGGCCACATCCCTGCCCTGAGGTCCTGGACACCTGCCCCCTGCTACTCCACTGCAGTCCCTTCATGCCTGCACACCTAATGTGGATTACAAAGGCAAGAGCTTCATTATCACTCATACATTCACTCATTCATCTTTCCCATTTCTAGACTTTAAAAATGTAGGAAAAATAGACAGTGGAGGAAGCAGGTATTAGTTAAGCAATCACACAAATAAGTATCTATCATAAAACATGAATGTAGATACAGATTCTGTGAGAGCTTATAACAGGGGACCTGAGAAATGTAGATCAATGCAGAAGATGAAGGCAAAAGAAGACATAGAAGTGTTACAAGCAGTGAGAAATGGTCATTCTTTCTCATTTTCAAGAGTGCCAACAAGATAGAGTAGAAAACTGTTTACTGATTACCTGGTACGTGTGAGGCACTCTATAAAAATGCAATCTCATTCCATCCTGCTACATCCCTGCAAGCTAAGTGCTAATGTCCTGTTTGACAGATTCAAAGCAGGCTTAGAGAAACTTAATAACTCAGCCAAGTTCCCAGTAGCAGGTAAGTGCCAAAGCCTGTATTTGAACCTAGTTTCAGCTGTAATCAAGCCCAAACTCTTGTCATAATATCGCACTCCAGTAGGCTCTTAATGCCTCTTGCACAAAGGGACAGCTCAGGTCAATCTGACAGTCTTCAGACAGAGTGTCAGACCCTACTACTGTCCTTCCCTTCAGAAGGATTGCAGATTCTAAATGGGCAAAAGATGACTATGGCAGAATGTTGCTTTCTTGGTGCTTCTGTTAACACTGAATCAACCAAGAAAGAAGAGGATCCATCCTGTGCAGTGTGCCCACTATCTAGGCCTCTGGAGAAGGTCTTGTTTGACAATCA